AAAACTTATCTATCTTTTTTTCTTCTTCAACTTGTTTTTTCCATGTTTATGTTTGTTTTATTTTATTTTCAGTCATATTGATTTGAATAAAAACGAGTTCCAAAAGCAGAAAGAGAGCACAATTGACTCAACAATATGCTCGTAGAAAGACTTATAAATTTGAACAGTTTATAAATATTCCATATATTGGTACTGAAGGTGAAAAAGTTGAGGCTTTTGATAACATAAAGAAAATACCATCTGTAAGCAAACTTTTGTATCCCCATTCCTATGAACAAAGTTATGTAAGCTCTAGTGTTTTATCATGAAGTGATTTGTTACCGTCAAAGGAAGAGTTTCATAATGTTCAAGGTTTTGGCTGTTTTGACATAGATGACTCTATTGCATGGAAATCAATAAATGCAGTAGAAAAGGCCGCAGACCTTTTTACTGATAACTTAAGCAATAACGATGAAAGTAATGACCTGACGTTTAAAGAAGATCTAGCCCAATGGGCTGTGCAATGTTCGGTGCCTCTAGCAACATTAACATCATTATTAAAAGTTTTGCATAATCACTTTAGTGTAGATCTGCCAACACAAGCTACAACGCTATTAAAAACGCCTCGCAAGTTAGATATTATTCAAAAGTCAGGTCAGTAAATCTTTCAAGAATTTTTTTTGTTGAACCCTAATGTAGATTTTTTTCTTGATATTTAAATCATATTAAATATTTAATTTAGTTAGACATTGCAGTATTAAATAGTTAAGTTAAAGACATTGAATTTTACTTGATATTTCTTAGTTATATAGTTATAGTTATATAGTTATTGTTATATTTGCTTAGTCGAATTTCTTTAGTTGATAAAAATATATTTCACATGTATTTTTTTGTAGTAATATAAAAGAGCTAACTTTTGTCTTTCAGGTGGTGATTATACCTACTCTGGAATAAAAGATGGTATTTTGAGAACTATTTTTAAAAAAGATCTAGATTTTGTTGAGTTAGTATTCAACATTGATGGCCTCCCTATCCATAAAAGTACAAATGCTTGCCTCTGGCCAATTCAATGTCGTGTTGATAATGTGCGTGAAAACAGTCCATTTGTTGTGGCGTTGTTTTGCGGTGTACAGAAGCCAACTAGTTTGGAATTCTTGGAAGAGTTTACTTTAGAGTTAAAATTCCTAATGGCAAATGGCATTAATGATTATAATGGAAAAACCATACAAGTAAATACGAAATATTTTATCTGCGATGCGCCAGCAAAAGCTTTGATTAAAGGCATTGCTCACTATAATGGTCGCTATGGTTGTGGTTATTGTAATGTAAAAGGAACTTATGATGGTCGAATGATGTTTTTATACACTGGTACTCAGCGCACTGATCAGACATTTAGAGAAAAAATTCAGAAAAGTCATCACAAGTATATCAGTGTCTTGGAATCACTTGAAATAGAAATGGTACAACAGTTCCCTCTTGACGTGATGCATTGTGTGGATCTAGGTTGTACTAAAAAACTACTGTTAACTTGGAAGGAAGGCCCGCTTCTTTTTCGATTGTCATCAGGGCAAATTACTTTATTAAGCACTTACTTATGTTCTTTAAAAGAATACATTCATATAGAATTTAATCGTTTGAAAGAAGTTTGAAAGATCTCAAGTTATGGAAAGCCTCTGAATTTAGAACTTCTCTTTTATATTGTGGACCAGTAGTTTTGAAATATATACTCAGCAAAGAAAAATACAACCACTTTCTTTGTTTAAGTGTAGCTATTCGGATCTTATACAGCAAAGATTTGATGACTGAGTATAAAGGTTATGCTCAAGAGTTTCTTAGTAGCTTTGTGGACAACACCAGACTGCTCTACTCCGATCATCTATTAACTTATAATTTTCATTGTTTAAACCATTTAACTTTAACAGCAGAGAGATATGGTTGTTTAGATGGAGTGACAGTCTATCCATTTGAAAACAATATGTCAGCTATAAAAAGAATGATACGGGGTCCTTCTAAAGTAGTAGCTCAGATTGCTGGACGACTCACAGAAATAAACAATAACAGGTCAGCAGTCTGTAAAAAAAAGCTAAATTTTAATCCAAAGATCAACGAATGCTATCGTCTGAAGAGCGGAAATTTTTGTGTCATTGACTCAATAAATAGTAATGCTAAAAGTGTTCTTGGTCAAGTCTATATCAGAACAGAAAATTTATTCAGCTCTCCTTGTAATTCTAAACTTGTTGGTATTTACAAGGTTAACAACAAGCATACAGAAATGTTGTATATACCTTTTGATGATTTTGTATCAAAGGCCATAAGAATACCGCTGTCTCTTTTTGAATCTGATAATCTAGCAGCAGCAGTTATTTTATCACTTGTGCACAGTTGAAATGCTCTACAAGTTAACTAACCATATTTGGTACTCGTTAGATGCTAAATGAGCTATAAAGTGCTTTAATGATTTTAAAAATGGAACATTCAACATTTGTAAATTTATTTGTAATTGAATTTTAATGCCTCTTTGTATTATTTTGATTTCAATTTTTTTGATAAGTCAATATTTATGCTTTTACTCATTTACCTTGAATAAACTCAGTTACTTTACCCCCTTTAAAAGTTTACTATAATCCCTTACTTTACTACACCCACTTTTTCAAGGACCTATTTTTTATAAACTAAATTTTTGTACGAAATAGGCAATTTCTTTTAATGAGCGAGTTTGCCCCCCTCCCCCCGCCCTCCTCACTTTGAAAAAGTGTTTTTATAATCAAAATAATTATTAAGTAAATAATAGTAATGATATCAATACGTGATTTCATTTGATATCATAAACTGCTCATTTTATATCAGGTTTTAAGTTCAGAATGATATCAATGATTGATTATTTTTTAATATCAAATTGGTATCATAAACTTTTCATGTTATAATATCAGCCTTTGATTTCAGAATGATATCAATGAGTGATTTCATTTTGATATCTTATTGATATCACAAACTTCTCATAGTATGATATCAGGTTTTGAGTTCAGAATGATTTCAACGAGTGATTTCATTTTGATATCATATTGATATCATATATTGATATCATAAATATCAAAGTTTGATACCATATTGATATCCGTATGATATCAAATTCGTGACTGGGTAATGCTGAATCAGCAAAAAATGCTTAAATCATCACTTTCTTAGAACAAAGAGTTCCAGTTATCTGTACATTCGTTTTGCATGATGTTTGGTTTTTCATGCAGGATAAATATAAAATTGGTATGTGAACCAGTGAAAACTTATAATTATGTCTAGATCCATAATGGCAGCTCTACGTATTTGGGGAAATTAAAAAAGGGGTAAAATTCAAAAAAAGACTATCCCGTAATTCCTAAAATACCCAAAGAATTATATAGATTCTGGTTCACATACTAACTAATATAAAGATGAACAAACCCTAAAAATTTCATTCAAAAATAGTTTATAGAAGCTGAGATATGCTTGTTTTAAGTCTGAAATATCACAAACAGAGAAATCTCCTCCTTCTTGTTCTATTTCTTTATCAATAAATAATTTTAAGCTTTAAGTTTCTTCATTCTTAAGAAAGCTTATGTTTTCAAATTTGGTTATTACCTTTTGCCCAAAATAACCAAAAAACATTGTTGCTAAGGGCGTTGCTAAGGAAACAAACTAACTAATTTCATTATAGGAAGTAAATTTTTTTTAAATCCAATTAAAAAAGATGTGTAAAAGTATATATTTTCTGAAAGAGCAAAAATTTATCTTTTTAAACTACACAAATAACAAAAATTTGATTTTTTAAATATTTTTTACTAGACGACCACCTTAATCTCTTAAAATTTTATTGGATATATTTTTAACAACTGTTTAACCAATTAAGAAATTAATTACAACAAAAATCACGATTTAGGTGAAGTAATTGTTTCTTGCACCCCTCAATTATAGGTATAAATATCTATGTTTTAGGCAATCTTTACTACATGTTTGAACCTTATTTTTTGCTTGCCTTTTCAGCTATTTGTTTGTTACGTTCTTTAAAAATGTTCTTTAGGCCAGGCACCTATTAAATCCTCTAGGCACTTTATAAATCCTTAGACGATTTTATTTTGTTTTGAAATATTTGTGCCGTATTTACAACTGTAAATCCGTAAATTTCATGGTAATATTTATAAGTAAATTAGGGTATTTGTTTGTACACACTTGATAATACCAATTTAATTTGAAATAACTTATATTTATTTTTTACATGTTGTGTTGTAATATATTTTGAAAATATTAATAGTCATTACTTGAAGTCTAATCTAAATATTAATAGCCAAATGAATATTATTAGTGCGCATAGTTACGCACTGTTACGCCTATTGTTTGTTTTGTTAATTACGGTTCTGCATTATGTAAAATACACTATTTCTTAGTTTTTAAGTTGTTTCTAGACATTTCTAAGCGCAGTATATATTCCACGCGGTCTTTCGAGTAAAACCAGCAAGCAAATTGGAGCTGATACACTTATTTTCAAGAAGAATTGATGTTGTTTATTTTTTTAAATAAAAATTTAAATAATTGTTAGGTTGTTATGTATATATATATGTATATCTATATGTATTTTCTCTTAGCAAAAGTAGTTGAGAATAGAAAAACAAAAAATTTTTTTTTGTTTTTCTATTCTCAACTATTTGTCAATAGAGTGTTGTGTTATGCTTCATTTTAAGGTATCTAAATATGTATTTATTTTTCATTTTTCAGAATAAGTTAGAACTAAATTGATTGGTAATATAGTTTTTTTAGTACAATGTAAATAGTAAAACTGTTTCAGTTTGGTTGTTAGTCTTTTTAAAACATTTTAGGCAGTATTTGTTTTATTTTTTAGAGCAGTTAAGAGGAGCTGATCGCTTTTTTTAATAAGTTCAAGTTATTTTCTCATACATAAATTAAGATTTGGATTTATTTCAGTCTATTTTATATTTCTCTCTCTGTATATATATATATATATATTTTCTCTAAGGATAAATAATAAGGAATAGAAAGTTGAGAAAATTTCTTCAGCAATTTGTCAAAAGAGTGTTGTTCTATGCTTCATTTTAAGGTATCTAAATATGTATTTATTAGAAATTTTTAATTTTGTTTTTAAATGGTTTCTTCTTTTTCATTGCTTTAGATTAATATATACTGACTGATAAACTTCATTTTTATTAACAATGTTGTGAATTGTATCTGCATTACATTAAAAATAATATATTTGTTACATTAAAAATAATTGATGCTAATAAAAAATATATATATATATATATAAATACATAAACAACATTAGATTGACATTGCTTCATTTTTTATACAAGGTTCTGCATTTATTTTTTTGTGCATTAAGATTGTGCCTGAAGGTAAAAATAACTTTGAATTATAGTCTAAATTCTTTGCTAAATTAAAATAATGTCAAAAATTTTGTTTTATATTTTTCAGTTGTAAAAATATAAAATGTTCATTTATTCAGTTGTAACAGTAGTATAATCACTGGTAATATATTTAATGATAACAGATGTATAATATTAAGCTCGAAGAAGTTATTAGTGTAAATGGTTATAGGTGACTTGAAATTGTTGTCATATGAAAGAAATAGATCTAGGCATGATAAAATTAATGGTCGTTGAAATATAAGAAATTTTGCTTGATGAACAGAAAACTTTTTTGCCAGAATTCCGCGTCAAGCGGTGTTGATGTCTATTATTTGATTTTACATTAGACACTTTAAAATATGAATTTTAAATTATGAATTTTACTGTTTTTAATATTTTAATTTTGAAGTATGAATTTTACTATTTTTAATATTTTAATTTTAAAGTATGAATTTTACTATTTTTAATATTTTAATTTTGAAGTATGAATTTTACTATTTATAGTAACAAGTAATAACAGTTTCAATTTTTAATGATTTTTTTTTTTATTATTTGTAATTAATTGTAAATATACTTAAACATAATTGTGTTCATTTTTTTTAGTTTTCTTTGTCATCACTTGATTATTTTGCTTACTGTTGAAACATGGTTTTAATTTTGTAAATTTAATATGATGTGAAATTTACAATATTAATCATTTATCAACAGTTAAAGAGAAGCTGGAACTTAAATAAGAAATGCTGGAAATTAACTTTTAGTCAAGGTGAAAATAACTTTGTTTATTGGTAGCATAATAAAACCAGTAACTGTTATTTATTGCATGACTTTTTAACTTTTTCCAACGTGCTGTTTTAAAAACACTTCCTCTCTCTCTCTTAGATGAGACTTAAGTAAGAATTAGTATAGAGGGAGAATAGATTAAACTCATGTAATTACTGAGCTTTTGCGTATTTTTTAATACTGCGATTGATAATTTGCTATTTAAAGGTATAATTCTTTAAATTGTCCCTTGGTTGTTATTGGTTATTGTAATAAATAAAATCTTTTTAGTTTCAAGTATTTTCTTTTAGGGATCGTCTATATATTACGTAACGCGAAATAAAAAATATAGACAAAAGAAATATCTAAAAAACCGTGTTTCTCTCATGGTCAACTATATGTTGAATTTTCAAGAACTAGAGCATTTAATAGTTTGTTTTTCAAAATTGATAATCATCTTATTCAAGGTATAGTAGGTAAAAAAATGTAACATAAATATTGTTATATTTTTTAATGTTCTTAATTTATATTCTTGAGATTTTCATTTCAAAAATTTACTGTTAAAGGTTGTGAGCACATTTTGTATGTATAACTTTATTTATCATTATTTATTTTTTTTCATAGTTTTGATAAATATATCTATCATTCAATAGTTGTAAAATGTGTTTATATGTGTTATAAAGTCATATTTGTTTATAGTTGTATATATGTTTAAACTATAAAAGCCAAGACAACAATTTTTATCTTACTTTGATTTTTTTTTAGTATTGTTAATGCTTTTGTACTTCGAAACAGAATTTATAGTTACATTTTTGATAAATCTTTAACTGCAATTCCAAAATAGGTTACTATAAATAGGTAAATCGATTTTCGGTAATTGTGTAGTGGTTTTTGTTTTTTTTCTTCTTTGTAATTATGATATCATAATTTCATTACTTTTTTTATTTTAGAAATACGTTATGACGCATTTATAAGATTTATAAAATAAAAAAATCTGATTTCTTTTTATTGTAAAATTTTGTTAATTAAAAAGATATAAATTTATGCTATTAGTTAATTTTATATTTTATCTATTTTATGCCTAATAATTTGTTGTACGTATTTTAAGGGGATCTTTGTAAATGGGGGGGGGAGCCGTAACCAAAACCTTTAAAAACATGCAGAATATTGTAGTATAGCGCATTAATATTGAGTTACTCAAGTTTTATTTATGTTTAACTAATTAGTTAGCTTAGTCTGTATTTGCAATACTTTTGAGGAAAGAAAGAAAACATTCTTATATATGTAGATCATTGTTTTACATTTTATCATTTTGTTTTATTTACCTGGTCACCATCAAAGCAAAAAGAGGGGAAAAACCTCTTTATTAGAGTCAAAATATTTAAGAAAATTAAATTTCGAGTTACAAAAGGAGTTT